TATCACATAGGCTATAGACCTAAAGTCTGGCTGTGAACGAGACGGTTACGTCTAGAGTAATTAAGTTATCGAGAAAAACAATCTACCGTAACAAAAGTCTATTTTGTTGATTTATTTATGTAACCAAAATGGTGTTATTTTATATACACGATATTATTTCTTCTTTCAATTGGAGTTTGGCGCAACTGCAAAAACGAACAGGCCTTCATGTACATCTTCTAGTTCTATTGCTAAAATGAGAGTCAGGCATGGTGGATCGACCGAACAAGGACATGTACATGTAAAACGATCAAGGGTCAAAGTTAAAAATACCACTGCGCAATCGTGACCAAAACAAACCACGGGCGACGCATGACGGGCGACGCACGACGGACGACGCACGACGGCAGATATGGAATTCCATACATTGTAGTTCCGTTGTTTCGTAGCATCGATAAGCTCGGACGAAACTTCTCACCGGATGAGACTATGATAAAAGTTTAATGGCCGACTCGGTTTTAAACAGTACATACCATGCAAGTCGGCCAAATATGGCTTGAAATGTTTTTCCTTGAACGAGTCTCAAACCGGTTACACATGTGACTTGAATGTTTTTACTGGATCCATTGCTCAATCAGACCAAATCATCTCGCACTTGCGTATGCTGAGGCCAACCATCCACCAAACCTTACAGCATCAGGTCAAGTTGTCGTCGACTTACTGGAAGGACTGGAAAACAAGGGACATGTTTTTTTTTATTGACAATTGGTACACTAGCCCCGCTCTTGTGCATATTATGTTGTCCCAGCAAGGGTTTGAGCTCGTGGAACTGTGCGCTATACCACACAAGGTATTCCAGATGATACAAACCCTAAGAAAGTCCCTACGAACCGACATGATCCACCCCAGTTTTTCTCTTTTAAGCGGGGTAACTGTGTGTTGTTTGGCCCATATACGTTTCAGTACGGATAAGTGCCACTTGCAAAAAAAATACTATACTATCTCGCCGCGAGTTATTATCTCGCCGCGATGAGTTAGCTAAAACAAGCTCAACTCGCTGCATATTAAGACTCAGTCTAGATACCAGACCCAATGATTGGGACTACTCTTCTAATCACCCAGTATCACCCAGTGTCGACGTGACCAACACTCCACCAGATTTCCGAGAACAGTCGAACTATTCCGAACTTATCCTGTCCATATTAAATTCAGTTTAACGGCAACACCTTTCCTTTAATGCTCCTCAAAATGCTAAAAATTATTACAAAGATTAAAATGAATAAAATTGGTAGCCAAATGAGTAAAGGGAGAAGAAAAACACCATTCGGATTGTATCGGTAATATTCGGGTATTTCCAGCTTCATCTGTACCGAGAATTTTGAACTGTCCGGGCTATGTCGGTCGGAGTACTCCTCAATTACAAAGAAAACTGGGGTCGGATAGATTGGAACATGCTTTGATAAATGGAAAGCATTTTTTAATTGAATGTGTTTTAAAGCAAATGTCACTTTTTGCAATTCGTTATTTAGAAATTTGGAATAGAGTTTTCATAAGCAGAACGAAATTTTAATGATTTAATACTTTTTTTAGATTCGAATGAGGTTTTAAAGATTGGATGAATTTTCATTGACGCAGCATATTTTCTAGATTCTAAGGAGTTTTAAATTAAAAGAACATAAATTAAGTGAGAATTTTTGACCAGCTCATTAGCATTGCCCCCCACAGTATGTTTTGAAAAAGGAGATTGTTTGGCTCCCAAAATGGTGAGATTGTGTAAATTGTTGCCAGGATCAACTCCCTGGGTCTTGGAGCTTTCATATGAGAGCAGAAGGGCTAAAAACTACGGTTGAAAAATGGTCCTAAGTGCCCGAGAAAGTTGAGGGTTGCCACTTGAAAAATGGCTGCAATCAAACTTTGG